TCCTGCAGGTTGTACTTTGCTGATCAACACATTAATCTCCAACAACTCGTTTGTATGTTGAGTGTTATTCAACGACAGTAAACATGAACATGAGAGAGAGGATTGATTATGTTAATAATGTTTAGAAAAGTTGTGTACTGTCTGATTATGATGATGATCAGATAACAGAGATAAAGATGAGGCTGATGGAGGCAGATGACTTTATAATCTGTTCATGAATTCAGTCGAACATTTGATCAGTAACTAAGTTATAGTTGCAACAGTGGAAACAGTCATGTAATGTGCAAGTGATTGTTGTACCTCGACATTATATCCAGGTACACCAATCATCTGGATTTTCTTTGCTACACTTTTAGAAAGTTTGTCAGCCAGCTGCTTTCCCTTTATGCCAATATGTGCAGGAACCCACATTAACTTGATTGCTCTGCAATATTTGTATTGTGCTACTTGTTGGTAATGTGCTACTTGAATCTAAACATATTGAAACCTTCCTCACTCTGACTTCCTCTGCCCAATCTAGTGCCATCAGATTTGCCATTAGTTTTCCTGCTTAAACTGCTAAATTAACTGTCATTCTTCCATTTGTCGTAATATTTAAATCTGGAATAACAACAGATAACCTTAATATCAAGTGTTTTATAAGCATCTGTTAAGATTCTGACATATACTGAATATTCACTTTTTATATATTTACCCACCTCTTTACTGTGTAGCTATCTAGGCAGTAACATGTCCAAGGATCCACGGCGGAACAACAGAAATAGCAATGGTGGGACGGATCATAATGTTCCTTATAGCTGTTTCTGTTTACTTATCCTGAATTATCCAACCAAACTACTGAGCTGTTTCATTTTTCTTTGTTTTTGACAAGGTTGACATGATCTCAGCCTGTAACACAGAAATTGGAGTCTTAAGGCTTGATGATGAATTGTATCTAATTTCCTTAGTAAAATCTTTAAAGCTGAACCATAAATGGTAGATCCATAATCAAGAATTGATCTGATTATCCGGGTGTGGATAGACTTTAATGGCGTTTTATCTGCACCCCATTCTCTGGCCCTCAGTCATCTAAATATATTTAAAATCCTTTTACATCTTGTTGTGCATATGTTTACTGCTAAAGCAGATTCCCAAATATT